TTTAAATTACCCTCACTTGAATGCCATCATTCTCATCCTGTTGTAACATAATCAATCTCCCAAAAAATTTTCGCAAATCTAATAATTAATTGTTAATTATGTGAAAACATCCATGAATATAGGGTTTCTATTTGAATAAGGTTTATTCGAATTATTCACTTTATTCGTTATGAATTTGAGTATTTGAATTACATTGAAAGTTTATTCAAATAAATTTTAATTCGAATAAAACAAATTATTCGAATAAGGAAATTAATTCGAATAAGGAAATTAATTCAAATAAAAAAATTAATTCGAATAAGGAAATTGAAATTAATTCGAATAATTCGAATAGGAAATTAATATTAATATTAATATTATCAAAATGGTCATACAACTTTCAAAAATTGTAGTGTTATAGAATTTTTGAAAACATTAAACCCCAAATGATGTGCCCAATTACGGATAATTAGAATTATTTTGTGTCTCACATTATTAAAAAATATCTTGATGAAAAAGATCTTATCACTAATCGAAGTGGCTATCGTAATTAATCAACAATCAAAATAAAAAAAAGGTAAAATCTAAATAATCGAAAACTGCCGAACAAATAAAAATAAATTTAATAAAAAAAAAAACAAGCATCAATGTTTCAACCAGGACTATTAGAAGAACTTTACATGAATAAATTGTTTTTCTCATGTTCTTGCGGCAAAGCCATTTTTAAATAACAAAAATTAAGAGAAGAAAATGGAGGTCTGTTGTTTGGAGTGACGAAAGTAGATTCACAATATATAATGATGGACCAAGTCACATTTGGAGAACTTCTGGTACTAAATTTAATATTGAAAACATGACTTCGGCTGTAAAATTTGGAAGTAGATGATGTGAGGCAGTTTTTCGGGAAAGGGTTTGAGCCATTAGTGAAAGCAGATGGTAAATTAAATAGTTTAGGGTATATACTAATCTAGAAACCCATTTACTATCTTTTATTGAAAAGGATTGTAATAGCAGAAGGTATTTGTTCACACTGCAATAGTTGTAGAAATTGGTTTTCAGCTCAGCAAACGGGATTAATGTTTTGCAAGCCAGTCACCTGATTTGAACATATGAATTAGAAGGTGCCCAAAAAACCTGAAATAAATTTCAGCCATTAAAACTAATTTCGGCTAATTAATTTCGGCAATTTCGGCCCATTAAGTAAGGTAGTTTCAGTCACCATCACTAATATCATTATTATTGATAACAATGATGATAACGTAATGACGAATAAAAAAGTAATACAATTTGCTGTTGCATAATTCATTAATAAATTAATTAAATCTAAACAATAAATATAACTAATACTAATACTAATACTAATGAATGATAATATTCGAATAAATTATATCGAATCAAATCAGTTTAAATCAAATCAATTGAATCAGTTCGAATTAAATTATATATTTGAATTTCATTGATTCGTTCGGAGCCCTATCTAGTTGATAACTGAATAAATGAATAACTAAGTGATGTAAAATATCTGAAAAGGAATATGAAATTCAATGTATAAATATTTCTAACAAGTTTGGACTTAAACAAATAATTGTTCACTATTTGGAATGTAATTGTTTTTTTATTTGTCAATTCTTAATAAACGTTCTGGACTTGAGATAATTCATGTTATTATAAAATTTTGTTTGGCGCGTCTATAGATGGGCGTCTAAACTAAATTATTTAGACAATGTCTAAAATATAGACGTTTAGACAATTGAGACCATGATTGTCTAAAATGTTGAAATTGAATTTTTATTGGATAATTTACTGAACTTTGTGGATTTTTGTGTATATCCACGTGACTTTTAGTTGTATTTGTAACAAACCATTACCAATAATGATATTTCCAACAGACCCACTTAGAGTCAATAAAGATAAGTTAAATGTAAAATGAAATGTATTATCAACAATAATAACAAATGATAATGTTAGAAGGAGGGTTATCGAAACTAAAACACTATTCGAAAAGGAATTTTTTCCACTTTGCTATCTCTATCGTTGATAATTATCCGTAAAACTAATATCTTTCTTATGAAATGTGAAATGAAGAAAAGTGCTGCCGATATGTATATAACAACCATATAATTATTAACACCTTCAAAGTTAGAAATGTCAATAAAGCTTAAGATAATCATGCAAGCCAAAAAATCCCATGGGGTAATTACTTAGTTTAACAAAAGGTGCTGGTACGAAGTATTTCGTTATTCCATTTGATATTTGCAATGGAGAAGATGAGTGATATGATTGATATTATGACCATTGCTGGCACGAAAAATAAAATTGCCATTTTATGAACATCACTAAATTCATTAAAATGTTCATACGGGCTGGAGGCATTTTGTATCATTAAAAGCATATAAACTATGAATGCATAAGAAATAAAAATTACATCTAATGCTTTATCCAAATGACGATCCAGTGTTCTTTGGAACAGGAGAGATAAGCATGCTCCAACAAATAATAAAACAAAAGAAAATTTTTTTCCAAGATCTGTATCATCCATTTTGTGAGTATTTATATGTTTTGGACTATAATAATGTATATTGTTGAGAGTTCGTGTACATATGAAGTAAACACGACAGATTTATTATGCTTGTGGGAATTCTATAAACAAAAACTAAAAAACTATTCTTAGAAGATAAATATTATGTGAATAACACAAGTTTGGTCAAACAATCGAAAATAGGTTTCGATTTTAGACTTGTGCAAATTATTTTAAAACGTATCCGGTCAACGATTTCCCATTTTTTTATTTCACTAATTATAATATTTATGCTATAGATTAATTCATGTTTCTATAAAAATCTATTAATAAAATTTTCTCTCAAAATGGAACCTCACGCCTCCCTATAATTAAAAGCAACACATATAAAAACATAATGATTTTTATTTCCCGAAGGCATAATTTATAACAATTAATAAATGCTTTAATAAAAAATGGATTTTGATGATAATAAGAAGACAATGACTGACATATATAAAAAAGCCAAGTTTAGACATAAATTTATTGTTTAAAAGGTATTTTTTGTAATAAAATCCCATATTCTATATGTTTAGTAAATAAAAGCGAAAAAAAAACAAATTTGTTTTTAATATTCAATTTTATCTGGAGATTCTACCAAATAAAAAAAGTCTTAAAAAAATTTTTTTTTGAACTTGGATGCTGTCAATTGAACAAAATTTCGTTAAAAAAAACACAAACATGGCCGTAGATGACTCGGAGGCTGTTTTTGCTATATAGAAAAGGTCAATTGATGATAATAATAATAATTGATCAAAACAAAAAAATGATTGGCTAAAATTTATGCATTGAAAAAAAATTGACGAGACCTTTATTAAATAAATGGTCATACAAACAAACAGCCTTCAGAATTGTGAATTATGTATATTTTTAACCACTTTACAAGCCTATCGAAAAATAATCAATAGTTGCAAATTGTAGTATTACAGGATTTTAAAACTTTAAATCTAACTAGAGTTATCAGTGTCACACTATTAAAAATATCTTGATGAAAAAGATCTTATCACTAAAATCGAAGTTGTCACCATAAATCAATAAACAATCAAAATCAAAAAAAGAAAAAAAAATTATAAAGCAAAATAATTGAAAATCTGCCAAACAAATTAAAAAATAAATTTAATGAAAGCAAAAACAAGTGTCAATGTTTCAATTACTAGAAGAACTTTACATAAATTAAATGGTTGCTCTCATGTTCTTGCGGCAAACCCATTTTAAATGACAAACAAAGAATAAACCGTGCATTAAGAGAAGAAATTGGACAGTTAGAAAATGGAGGTCTGTTGTTTGGAGTGACAAAAATAGATACACAATATATAAAATGATGAACCACGACACATTTGGAGAACTTCTGCTAATTAATGTATTTAATATTGAAAACATGACTTATTATATATATACCTAGACTTACTGCTAGCATTTTGATATTTCCATGAAAACAAAAACCTAATCTGATCCTGCGAAGTGATATTCAGTTTAATTTATCAATATAACATTGAACCTAAGTTAAGTTAATTATTTTAGGTGTCAACTGCATTCGAGGATTTATGTTCTCTTACAGGAATAAAGGCTCTGGTAATTGATGCTGAAACATGGCCTGACGATGCAAATGCAAATTTACATCTTTTGAAATGTAATGTCAATCAGATCATAAACAAAAGTGTTGGTTATGAGAAAACTATGTGGGAAAGGATTGGAACAGAGTTAGAGAGAGTGAATGTTGAAAGCCTTGGATTTGATCATCCAATATGTTCTGGCGTTCTTGATATTAAATCAGAACCTTTCACAAAAATGCCTGTTTCACTTTGTGAAGTTTTCAAGGAACCCTTCCTGAAATATAAGTTGGATCATAATGACATGATAATGGATACTTGCAAAAAGGTTATCCTCGAGGAGGAGACAAAAATAAATTTAGGTGAAGATTTGCATGACGTTGAATTTGGAAAATGGTTAGATAGCTCTGAAAAGCTTCAGGAAATGATGAGGCAAATACTAGAATCTTTGTAAGTTTGTTATTTTTCTCTGGCGGTTTATAAATTAGCTGATCCCTGTTAACTGGTAACCCTTATAGGTTTAGAGTTTGGAAATCCCAAAGTATGAAGCCTACACAAAAAAAGGAAAACCGGTTAATGAAGGATCATAACTGTGTCAAATTTAGTTTTGACTTCATGTATAATTGAAACAAGCATTGATTTTTCAATTATTGCAACATCATTAGATTTTAAAATCAATCCTGGTTTTGACAAATTAATTTATCACAGAAATCTTGAAGTAGGCTGTATGTGCAATGGAATTGTTAATATTGATAATATGGATGCAAATGAGATTTTAAAACTTATTGTAGCATGTGATGAATTGAACTTTAATGAATTAATTGATGATTTGCAAAATGATTTAATCAACAAACATAATGAATGGCTTTACCAAAATTTAATCAATATTCATAAATTTTTGTCAGAATATCAATTTTTCACTTCCTGATCAAAAGTATAGGGACACTTGCAGATCATCCAAAATAATTGAATAAAGTGACATGACAAAAATATGCATTTGACTAAAGAGTTCAAATAGTTATAAATAATTTTGGCAACTATTAAAGTTAATTATGGCAACAACAAAAAACTAATTATGGAATTACAGATAATTGATGATCATTGATTTATGGCAAACAACTATAATTTTAACACCTTGAATTCTTATGATAGTAACATTGTAATAAAATAACCATTGTTAATTAGCAAAGCTATCTTTGTTTATTTAATTAATTAATATTGGATTGTTGATTTATGAAATCAACCATTTCAAGCATGATCCAGTTAAAAATATATCTATTAATAATTAAAATC